GGCGCGGGCGGACCGAGGGCTGGCTCTGCCGCCAGCACCGGTGGCCTCCCTGGGGTGGAGGCCTCCTCTCCCCGTGGCCGTGGACACACGCCCGCTGGTAGCTGCGCTTCCTCCTCCGTGTCTGCAGCCGCCGGCCTGGGTGAACCGCGCTCCTGTCGCTTTTGGTGCGGTGTCCATGTCGCTTCAGCCAAGCCGCGCTCTTCCCCAGCGGAACTGAAACCCTCTGTCGGCCCTGGCAAGAGTCTGGTTTCTCGTTCACCTTTGGGCGCCTTCAGAGAGGCGCTTAAGTGAAAGCGGGGGGGCAAAGGTTGTCACCTCGCCTTGTGCGGGGCCCCTGGGAGAAGCTGCTGTTGTAGGGATTTCTGAAGGCTGATGTTAACTTGCCCGTTTCCTCCTAAATTTGCTGGCAGAGTTCTGCAGGGAAGTGTTCTGCTGATGAACAGATTGTCATTAAGTAAATGGTGTTGCAGTTTCTTGGTCATATGGTTGTTCTTAGAGAAAGTTACTGGTATTTACTGTAAGCTAATCATTGAAATCCTAGTATTGATCTCTGAAATACTGTTTACTAAATGAGTCACTTCCAAAAGAATCTTTGATATAAGCCCTCCCTAAGGATACTGCCTTTGCTAAAAAAGGCATTAATTGTCCACATACTCGGGCAACTTTTTAGGGGCAAAATCAGTTGAACATCGTGATTGCTCTGAAAGTTTGATGACTTCTTCAATTATACAAAGCTATTAATGTTGCTGAAACAGCTTTGCTTTTGCTCAGTCATGTTCATTTCCTCTTGGCGTGGCTGCTAGTTGACTTGCTTCTAAGTTCACCAAATAACATGGACTGTCTGGGTTTTTTCCCTTTTTTTTTTTTTTCCTTTTTCTTTACACCCCCCTCCCTTCCATGGGTTGTCTCCCTGTGAGCCCCCTCTTCTATGTAGTTCCGTGTCTCCTTCTCATAGGACAAGCTTTCACTGTCGCATGACAGGCAGCACACTGAGATAGGATGGCTGCTGATCAAATGAAACAAATAGCCTTACAGTTTTTATCAAGGTGGGTGGGAACACACAGAACATCTGCCTTAACATTATGGTAATTAATTTTATTACACTTTTATAAGAGGTTTCCATTCAAGCCTAGGAGGAGGAGAAGAGAGATTGAAGGCTTAAGCCTGTCCTCATTTCTCCTTCCATTCCCTATAAGGAAAACAGCAAGCAGTGGCCACAGCTGACTGTTATTTGCTCCTTTTGGGAAACTCTATGAGTATTTCACACAAAATGTACAGGAAACTGGTCACCTGAGCTGGCAAAACTCTTGCTTGCAAGACTGTTACATTACCTAAGCATCTAGAACAGAGATTGAAATGTTGTAAGTAATCTTAAGTGTAAAATGGTCAGTATGTGAAAGGCTTTGCAGCCTAAAGTTGAAAGGGTTTGGAGACTGAAAACTGTTGACTGAGGGAGCTCTCTGTGTTGATATATATACACACTAACCAAAGAATAAAGGTAAAGAGCTCCAGCCCCTTCCTTTGGCCTCCCAGACACTTTGCTCTTATTTTGTGCAGACTCTGTGTGTTACTGTTGGCTGAATAACCTGGCTCAGACCAGAACAAAAAGCACATCGCCTGGTGTGGAAATGGGGCTTGAGCAAGGATCTCCCCCAATAGAGAAAAAAAAAAACCCTACATCACAGTATCTAGATATTATAGCACAAATGCCATTTGCAGTGTCCTTGATATCCACACAGAGTGCAGTCCATGTGCCATTTGTCAGTGTAACTCAACTATGAACTTTTCTGACCTTCCTGTGGCTGACAGAGCTGTGAAATATGTGCAGTCTTGCTTGCGAGAAGTCATGTTCAGCTCGGTGTATAAGAAGTTGCTAAACAACTCCTCACCATATAAGCTAATAGAAGTCTAGCATTCTCAGTGAGAATACTCTTACTGGATGCAAAAGCTAGAATATTTGCCTAATTAATGATTAAATCATATTGCAGCCTTAGCTGAGCTGCCATAAGTCATTGGACATCACTTTAAAAGAAGTGGCCTTTGTAGGAATCTGATGTTCCTTCAGCAGCTGATTTAAAGACCTGAAGTGACTTGCTCCGGGCTGAAAGCAGAAATTACACCAGTAGGATGTCACTGAGTTGCAGATGCCTGCAGAACTATATTAAGTTGATCCTCCTTGGTCTTGCCTCTTTCGACGCTTGTTAGGATAGTATATGATTTCGCGGTTGATTTGAGCCAATCAAACATTGTACTATTGTCATAAGTGGTGCGCCCAGCATCTTTAGTAAAGCTTAAAATTGTGCAGAATAAAGTGGATCAGCTTGATGTGTCAAAAAAATAATCCTCTAAGGTAGAGGGAGTGGGGAGAGAAGATGATACTTGTTTTTCAGGTAGGTTAACAGTTTGATGTGATTCATTGTGTGGTTGCATGATCACTAGTCACTACACAAGGAAAACAGTGGAAAACTATAGGAGATAGGGGAGGAAGAGGGATAGACTATCTCTTATCACTACAAAATGATATCAAATTGATGCAAGCTAACCATGAAGTGCACCATTGCTATCTACTGTTCTTGAAAGCTTGTTTGTGTTAGTATTGTGAAAGGTTTGAGCTATCATGAGTAGACAAATTCAGAATTTTTTTTACAGATGACAACCCTTAGCTTTTTCTTGTCTTTTCTTTTTTAAACAGAGCACTAATAATTTATGTAACTTTAGAATACGTAAAAGTGGGAACACAGCAGAGTAAAGTTGTTCTGCAGCAGTGATAGCCTAACATATAGAAATAGCAAGGCTGCGAGAAACAGCCAGCTATGTTAGTTGGTCTAAAAAGGTTGAGGAAGAAGAGCGCACAAGCTTTTAGCTCCACAGAGTTGTTTTCAGAGTATGTACACCTCACTATCACTTATCTGAAAGTTAGTCTGTTAGGCTGGATCATGTCTAAATGGGAAAGTGTAAAATGCACTTTGTATTTAAAGCAAAGAATGTAAGTGTTGTCTTACCAGCTTAAGTCAAACATTGAGAGAAATCCTTTGGGAAAACTAGAAAAATACATTTAAGAAGGAATAAAATACACTGGAACTTGTCTTACTAACTCATCTTGTGATCTGTTTATCTTCAGCTGCTCAAATAAAGAATTTGATGAGCCAGCTGGGAACAAAGCAGGATTCCAGCAAGCTTCAGGAGAACTTGTAAGTATCAAATGAGCTAACACTTGTATAGGTTCTCTTTCATTCCTGTCTGTATTCTTAGAGGAACTGGGTTACTTGCTTTAGGGAGATGCTTTATTAGATAAATTTAATATGGTCCTCCAAACCAAAAATGACTAGTTGGGTTAAGTAGTTTACTGGATGAATTAAGGTGTTTCTGCTGGACTCTGGAGAAGCCATTCAAAACTGCTGGATAGGAATGGTTATAAATGGTGTAGTTTATTTTAAAAGTGTAGTAGTACATAATCCATGCATTAGCTGTGCTCTGAGGACTAACCATAGTAGCTTTACTTGTGGTTTAGAAGAAATGAATGCCATACTAGGTACTTGGTCCTCACATAAGAGCAATAAGGAGAAACAGCAAGGAAGACCCATAGCTGATGAAAAAGTAGCTTGTAGTACAGATGGATTTAGGCACTAGAAAGATAAGTAATCCTATATGGCAGCCAGAATGCCACACGTAATTTCACAAGAATATGCCAGTGAGGGACAATATAGAAGACATTTAAACAGGCATAGTCCAAACGGACTCCTAAAGAGACTGAACAGGGAGTCTTTATCTCTGTGCATCTTTTACAAACTTGTAAAGCATAAGTAGCAACTTATGAGGAGAATAATTTCTGGAGTCATAAAAGATAACTTGAAAGTAAGTTCTTCAGTTATCTCTTCATGTGACTGTACCTTGAATCTCTGAATATGCAACATCCCCATTTTTTATAATAGCTGGTTTTTTTATACGTTCATAAATTTTGGTGGTAGCTACATACACATTTGAAGTATGAGATCAGAGCCCAGGTGGGGGAGAAAAGAATTTGTTTGCCTGAGCTACTCAGTTGATCCAGTTTGTATTTAATTGGTAGATTAAAGAACTAATCACTGGTGACCAAATAAATGTCTCTCCATTTAATTTCATTGTAGAAATGCCCCTCCTCTTTAAGGTGAGAGTGGTTACACTCCAAAAATTGTCAGCTGTCATACAAATTTAATACAAAAATGCATGGGTGGTTTATTCAGCTCACATATTGTAGGTCAACTTAGACAATAATTCATCCTGAAAACTTTTGATTTGTGTATCTGTTAGGCTGAATAAGTGACTTTCATTTAAGCATCTTGTATCCATTGAATGCCAAAAAAATTTGTTCTGGTTTTAGTATTTTGTGTCTTCCTGGTTTACACTATTAGTTTTGTGCATATGGCTGCAAAATAAAACTTGCAGTTCTGTTCTCTGTGAAGCACTAGCTTTCTTCCTGATAAACTGCATCTTTGATGTACAAGATGTTGTCTTTACATTAAGTTCAATGTAAACAATGTATTTCTGTATTGTGGTACTAATGAAGGTGCTGCTTCACTAGATTCTTTGCAACAATACCTTTGCATTGCAACTTTGTTGGAAAACATAAAGGCTCAAGGGAAAGCCTTTCATTTCCCAAAGTAGAAGCTGTATCTTTCCTCTCTTTGACCACTAATTTTCACAAAAAATGTAGGAATTTAATATCTCTGAGTCTCTGTCCTTCTATTGAATGTATATTTAAACAATGAAGTTGGCAATTGTCAAGTGAACAGTTAATTACAAATTGGTACCACAAGGAATTTGCCCTATAAGTATTATTAAGTTCACTGAATAAAGTTGTCTCTCCCTTGAATTTTCTCTCTTATGCCATTGGGGAAAAATATCTTTTTAAAACTACTGAATTATACTAGTTAGCAGGGAGCACAGAACTTTGAATATTTTTTTTAAAAAGTAGTCCAGAGTCAAGTTGTTGGTAAAAGCAAAAAGTACATCTCTGTTCTGTTATGGTGGAAAAAAACCCAACACCATAAAGATGACTGAGAAACCTTACTTGGTCATTATTTTGGAGACTGCTTTTTACATAGACGCTTGTGTAACTGCTTTTGAACTTTTCAGACAACAGCTACAGCATTCTGCAAACCGCCTTGCCAAAGAGACCAATGAATATCTAAAGGAGTTGGGGTCTCTACCACTTCCTTTGTCTGCTTCTGAACAGGTAGGCACACAGAATTTGTCTGGACGTATTTTTAAATTGCTCATTTCATTAAACTAGCTTAGACAACAACGTCACAAAGCTTGAATCGGCACAGCTGGAGAGACAGCAGACTTTTGCAAGGAAGAATGTTGTTGAAGTACAGAAACACATTAAACTAGCTACATCCTGGCTGCTTATACGATACTAGAAAGACAATGTTTCCCAGTGGCAAATAGGTATAAAACTTATTCGCATGAGAATAAGAAACCCTAAATGTTTGGGGAGAGCTGAGTATGCAATTCTGTTTTTCTGAGTAAATTCCTGGAAAATAATCTTGTTTACAAAGTGCCTGGTGATGTGAGGCAGTGTTTTAGAATGAGAACTCATAGCAAACTGCATTTCAGTATGAAATGTGATCACACCAAAAAGCTTTCCCTGGTACATGGGGGGAAGGTGAGTCACCTTGCTCATATCTGAATAAAGTAAAATATAGTGAGGCAATGATTATGACTTTTATCTCCTGCCAAATAATCCCTTGAGTTCCCCGTCCCTATGGGAAAGGGAAGGGCCAGTTCTCTGCTGTTGGTGTTTTCTTGCTCTACTTCAAATTACAACCACAATATTGATGTATCTGCTTTTGTGATACTGTTGTGGATATGGGTCAGCAGATGTTGTCCTAATCTAATTCTGTATTTAAAGCTGTATGCCAGTTGTAAGCAAGGCCATGTTTTGCCTGTTTGTTCAGCAAATATTTTTCAGTTAATCTCCCTCTGGTGAACAAAATCCTGTCATGTGCATCTCACTGAATGAAGCACTGACTTGTGAAGCCTGTTGGAGGAGTCCAGTCAAAATCTGCAGGAGGTGTCACCAACATGCTGAGGATCTCCTCTGGCAGAAGGGTTGTTGCTTCCAGACAGCTCAGATGGAAGCTGCAGTGTATTATGAGGCTGCTGTAGTGGCTTATTATAGAAAAAAAAAAATAGCGGAAAATACTTATTTCCTTGAAATGGCTGTTGAATTGATACAAACTCTTTGAAAGATTACAATGCTGGAAAGCCTGCAGTTTGAGACCACTGTTGGGAATCTCTCTAATGGAAAACCTAAGAACTGACCACAGTATTGAGTGTCCTTGGGACAAGTTTTTTCACGTCTTGTTCCCTATAACTGGGATGTCACAACACTCGAAGGACATGTTCTGTGGAGGCCAAATAAGTTGATACTGTAAAATGAGGATGAAAAGGAATATTACAACTAATGTATATGGAGAAAAGATAAATTGAAATGGTTATCAGGACTAAGGATATTCTCGAATCAAATAACAGCAGGCTTGTAGTATGGCATGGCTGGATGAGACAGCTTATGAAACTGGGGTAATGGATGTTGTGATAAGTTCTGTAAGTGTGGGGCTTCCTACATGTGGAAGAAAGTTAAGGAGGTTTTCTTATCAGGACAAGGGAAAATTAAGTATTACCAGCCTGGCTCAGTAGAGGAATGGAGGGTAACGGCATTGCAGATATCAAAAAGGTACATAATTAAATGTGGTAGCTTACTGGAATGTGATTTGAATAAAAGTAATGGTATAGAATACCTCTCTGCTTCAGACTTAAAACTAGATTGAAATTAGAGAACCTTATTGCACAAAACTTCTGCAACAGGCAAGACGTAGAGCATTTGGTATAACGAATAAAAATATTGTGGGCTTTTTGTTCTCTCCAGTGCCCCAGAATGCTGGAACTAAAAGTTCACTTGAAAGCCAGCATTCATTGTTGTTACTATGATGATGGGTTTTTCTGAGAGTCTGACAGTTACATTATCATGAATGGGAATATCTGAACACTTGTTTTTGTTTCAATTCTTTAGCGCCAACAGAGGCTTCAGAAAGAACGTTTAATGAATGACTTCTCCACGGCCTTAAATAACTTCCAGGCAATACAGAGGAGAGTGTCAGAGAAGGAAAAAGAGACTGTAGCAAGGGCGAGAGCTGGCTCCCGTATCTCTGTAAGTATTTATAGGAATTTTGTATTGATATAGTGAATCACAAGTTTTTTGAGAGATCTTGTACTTGCCTACCAACTTCATAGCTGTCTACTGACACATTACCAAGTGCGCATGAGGCCCCGGTGCATTAGTTTTGTCATTCCAGATGTTACAGAATCACAGAATCATTAAGGTTGGAAAAGACCTTTAAGATCATCAAGTCCAACTGTCAACCCAACACCATGCCCACTAAACCATGCCCCAAAGTGCCACGTCTACATGTTTTTTGAACACCTCCAGTGATGGTCACTCTACCTCCCTGTGCAGCCTGTTTCAATGTTTGACCACTCAGTAAAGAAATTTTTCCTAATATCCAATCTAAACCTCCCCTGGCGCAACTTGAGGCCACTTCCTCTTGTCCTATTACTAGTTACTTGGGAGAAGAAAGCAAAACCCACCTCGCCACATCCCCCTTTCAGGTAACTATAGAGAGCAATAAGGTCCCTCCTCAGCCTCCTCTTCTCCGGGCTAAACAACCTCAGTTCCCTCAGCCACTCCTCATCAGACTTGTCCTCCAAACCCTTCACCAGTGTCATCGCTCTTCTTTGGACACGCTCCAGAACCTCAATGTCCTTCTTGTAGTGAGGGGCCCAAAAATGAACACAGTATTCGAGGTGTGGCCTCACCAACACCAAGTACAGGGGGATGATCATTTCCCTACTCCTTCTGGCCACACTATTTCTGATACAGGCCAGGATGCTGTTGGCCTTCTTGGCCACCTGGGCACACTGCCGGCTCATGTTCAGCTGGCTGTCAACCAGCACCCCCAGGTCCTTTTCTGCTGGGCAACTCTCCAGCCAGTCTTCCCCAATCCTGTAGCATTGCATGAGGTTGTTGTGACCCAAGTGCAGGACCCAGCACTTGGCTTTATTAAACCTCATACAGGTGACCTCGGCCCATCGATCCAGCCTGTCCAGAGCCCTCCTACCCTCCAGCAGATCAACACTCCCACACAACTTGGTGTCATCTGCGAACTTACTGAGGGAGCACTCGATCCCCTCATCCAGATCATCGATAAAGATATTGAACGAGACCGGCCCCAGAACTAAGCCCTGGGGGACGCCATTTGTGACCAGCCACCAACTGGATTTAACTCCATTCACCACAACTCTCTGGGCTTGGCTGTCCAGCCAGTTCTTTACTCAGCGAAGACTGAACCTGTTTAAGCCATGAGCCACCAGTTTCTGCAGGAGAATGCTGTGGGAGACAGTGTCAAAGGCTTTACTAAAGTCCAGGTAGACAACATCCACAGCCTTTCCCTCATCCACTAGGTGGGTCATCTGGTCACAGGAGGAGATCAGGTTGGTCAAACAGGACCTGCCTTTCATGGACCTGTGCTGGCTGGGCCTGATCCCTTGGTTGTTGTGCCCATGCCTTGTGAGCACCGTCAAGATGAACCTCTCCACAATCTTCCCTGGTACCAAGGTCAGGCTGACAGGCCTGTAGTTTCCTGGATCCTCCTTCTGGCCCTTCTTGTAGCTGGGTGTCACATTGGCAAGCTTCCAGTCACTTGGGACCTCCCCTGTTAACCAGGACTGTTAATAAATGATGGAGAGTGGCTTGGCAAGCTCTTCCGCCAGCTCCTTCAGCACTCTTGGGTGGATCCCATCTGGCCCCAAGTAAGTTGGCACTCATTTCAGTGTGTTCCTTGTCAATGTTAGTAGAGGAGGGAAGGAATCCTGGTGGTTGCAAATGTGGAGGATAAGATGTGGAGTCAAAGTATAGTTAATAGCAAAGTATTGCAGGCTGCTCTTTGCTTGATGTCAGCCCTAGACTATAAAATTTAAGAGGTCAGTTGGAAGCTTACCACACCTTAAATTACATCTTAAATCTCGCACTGTTTCTTTATTTTCTTATAGTTCCTGTCTTGCTAATATCTCCAACATACATTGAAGCCTTCTCCCTATTATGTTTTGACAAACCCCTGTGGCTACTAAGAATTCATAATAAAAAGGCCAGTGAAAGCATTTTTCTCCCCTTGCCTTGGGGCTTTGTGTTAAGTATGCATTTGTAATTTCTACAAGGGAACACATTTATCCATTGGATTATTCTATAAATTTTTTGCTACATACTGAAAAAGGAAGTGACAACAATAGCCGAGCTGAGTAAACGGACTAGCTGCTTTTGATCTCTCAGTTGTCTCTTGCTTTGCAGACGCAATCTGAATCTAAAAATAAAATCTAAAGATTAATCTAAATCTTAACTAAACTAATTTAAATCTGAAAGTTGAAGTGACAGTGGCATTCCCAAAGAACTCTTTGGACAGTATATGCCTTTGTCTTAAAGATACTGCTGTTGATGTTGTGGGTGGTCCTGAGAAACTCATTTATCTCTTCCAGG